GGTCCAGAGGAGGGCCACAAAGATGATCAGGAGGGCTGGAGTACTTCTCCTATGATGATAGGCTGAGAGACTTGTGGTAGTTCAGTCTGGAGAAGAGAAGGCTCCAGGGAGACCTTACTGCAGCTTTCCAGTACTTAAAGGGGGCCTACAGGAAAGATGGGGAGGGACTCTTTGTCAGGGAGTGTACTGATAGGACAAAGGGTAAAGGTTTTAATTTAAAAGTGGGTAGATTTAGACTAGATCTAAGGAAGAAATTTTTGACAGTGAGGGTGGTGAGACACTGGCACAGGTTGCCCAGAGAGGTGACAGATGCCCCATTCCTGGAAAATTTCAAGGTAAGGTGGGATGGGGCTCTGAGTACCCTGATCTACTTGAAGCCACCCCAGCTCACGGCAGGAGTGTTGGGACCAATGACGGCAGGAGTGTTGGACTAGATGACCTTTAAAGGTCCCTTCCAACCCAAAGATTCTATGATTCTATAAAAAATGCAATCCACAAACTCAATTAATTGTTTACAGGATGGCTTTAATAATGAGCATTTGCCTTAGCTAAAGTAGCAGTGAAATCTCACAGCTTCCCAAAACAAAGTTCTGCTGAGAATCAACATTACCTAGGCTCAGGTTTAAGTTCTCTGTGAAGCTTTAAACATGGATCAAGTCATGAATTACAAACTACTGCTAAGTTGCAAGCTGCAGGCATTAAGCCCAGTTCCTCCTCCTTTCCCAGTCTGGGTTATTAGATATTATACAGGCCACTAATAACTGCTTGGTTATTAAAAAATGTGGTAGGTTAACTGATACAGTAGGTCAGTACCTTTCATAAGAGAAAGGTAGTACTGGTCAGGTGGGACCAGCCTACTATTGCCTGTCTACTGTTAACTGATATACTAACCAGTTGCCAGTTGCTCAAATTGTTCCTAATACTGCTCCTGGCCATTTGCTAGATTTCTACCAGTTTGCTGCCTCACTCCTTGTGCTACAGAGAATTTTTTTTCATTATCTTTTCTCTACCCTGCACATTCATTACATAGTCACAGCAGCCTTTCAAATGCTGCCTTTATACATGATATAGAGTAAGGACTGAAATGTTTTGCATATTGTAGCATTTCGTATGCCGTAACTTCTGTGGTAGCTGACTTCAATTATTTCTTCACTTGGTATGTGAAACCTGAAGAATTGTGGAATTCCTGAAGCTTTACAGAAATGCTGCTTTGAGGGAAGAATTTGATCTATACATGAACAAAATTTAAAAAGCTACAAACTATCTTCTAATTCTTCATCTACCACATTAAAGTATTATTGTCATTTTAACCACAACTGAATAACACACATAGTGGTTTGTAATTCAAAGGCTAATGCAGAGCAAATTGTTGTGTTAACTGTAAACAGAGCAGTAACTACTTTCTGCACTAACAGGTTTCTAGAAGCCCAGTGCAATCCAGGCAATTCAATCATTCAGTTCTCATGAACTGAGCAGGACACCAACATAATGTCATAAATCACAACTGGCTAAGTACTTAAAAACAGTATTAAAGTAACTTCCAAAAAGCAGCTTTTTTTAGCTATACAAAATATCAGATACTTGGTGAGATAGCCCATGAAGTTTAATTTAGGTACACTGAAATGTTCTACTTTTGCATCTATCTGCTCTATATGACTGTGTATACTTGAATGGTATGCTAGAAAAACAGATGCTATGAAAAAAGGAATTACTACATCCCATTTGTTTCCATAATTTTCCAGACTCCCCTTATGACAGAACAACAACCTAGAAGGACCTTTTCAATAAAGATGCAACTGAAGTTACTTAACATTGATGCAAGTATATAAAATTTCAAAGGTAAACAAATGCACATTGTGGTTGTGTAAATTGAAAAACATTTACATCCATCTCAATTTCCAGTGGACTAGCTTGAAAATGTTTTGGAAAAAGTGTCTTTAGCTTTATATAATCTTGGTGTACTACAACCTATATCTTGAATTCTGTATGCTTCAAATTCAGTAGCTTGAGATTATCTCTCTCCCCTCTTTTCAGGGTGAGGTAGAGCCAAATACAGTCCTACCAGTTTTTAAACACTTTATATGGTCCCTAAAACAACATCTACTAAAATAATTCACATTACAAAATAAGCAGAGATGGGTAGTCTCAATCCAACAGAACAATGAAAAGCTTCACAGTATCACTTTATTCATTACATAAGTTTCCATGCAAAGATACTACCCTCAAATGCATCACTGTATATTTGGATCCACAAGAGAACACAGGGGTAAATACCCTAATACTTACTGCTTTTTAGAATAGTTCAACTTCCCCCTTCCCCCTCAAA